CTTTTTGATACTAGTTACATTAGGTTTAAACTTCTATGACTGTTTATTTCTTAACACCACCCAAAATGTGGTCCCCACCTTAGTTTCCACCATATCCCAATATTAATCCTCCCTTCAGTTAAGCCAAGGGCCATCCTCACTCTGATCTTGGTCACAGAGCCTCTGCGATTCCTCCTCACCCAAGCCCCTCCCACTTCCTCTAGGAAGTGTTGCCTCTCAAATCTCCCTTTCCCATTCTGCAGTCTGTACTTTTTACCCAAATCACACCATTAGACGCCTTTCATATGCAGCCCATTCTTTATTAGTACAGCACAAACTACTTGTGCACACAACTTAATCAGAGATGTGTGGGTCTGTGTGTGTACTTGTGTCCAGGTGCATACTTGTGTCTGTGTGTTTGGGCATGCACCATGCCTCCGCTAGACTATAAAGCACATGAGCCCAGATCTCCCCTCAGAGATATTACAGAGTTTATAGGAGACTCTCAGTATGTAGTAGAATATATTAGCTTACTCTTATCTGAGGATAGTGTCGTACTTTTATCTAATGGCAACCCACTCCCCGCCTCCATTTTAAACTTTTACACCTTCTTCTGCTGCTCTCCCTTCTTCCAGGGTGTTTTCAGTAACTCAAGAACTATATACTCAACACCTATTTACTCAACACCTCCTATATGTCTAAAAATAGGGAAATCATAATAAACAAGACCGATATGGTCCCTGTTTTCTACTGACTTAGAGTGTGAAACTTTGGCTATGGTTTGACAGAGCAAACATTCCCTGAAGGAGGACAGTCAACCATCCCTCAGTGGGAGGCCACCCACAGATCAACGGGGCGACACGCCAAGTGGTAGGGTCTACTTCTTTGGGAGGGGCTAAAGGATCTGAACAAAAAGCCACACACCAAGTTAATTATAAAGTTTTTCCTACTAGTTTCTACTGAGACCTTTCAAAAGGAGAAGGAATCCTTTTTAAAACTTTGGTTGCTCCTGGCCTGTTTTACTATTGAGTGCTGCTATAAAGTATTCTTTAGGACAGGATGATTTCTACTCACTACTTGTTTTCAGACCAATGTCTCGCCACTTCCCTAAAATGCACTTGTCAAAATTTAGTTTTTCATCAAATAAATCAGATATACAAATTAAGTATATTAAAAACTACTGTGTCACCACATGATTAGATCAATAATGTATAGGTGGGTGTAATGGCACACCTCTCATTCCATTGCAGTAAAAGGCTGGGCCTGGTAGCATACCTCTGTAATCACAGCTACTTCAGAGGCTGAAGCAGGAGGATCAGAGGTTGAGGTTAGCCTGGTAAGTAGTGAGACCCTATATCAAAACAGAATTTTAAAAGGGGACAGGGATATGATAGCTCAATGACAGAGTGCCTACCAGAACCAATAGTAACAATTTATAGTTATAATGCTCATTGATTTACACATTTATTGAGCTCCTCAAAATACCTATGTCATCAGTAGGTCTGACTAAAATAAAAATGGTTCACTTGATCACATTAGACCATCTGCAAAGCCCATGTTCAAAATGGGATACTAACAATTTACAATTAAACATCTGGATTAAACAGAAGATAAATAGTACACTGGGAAATTATCTCCTAGAAATATAGTCCAAAGCTTTAGCTATTTAAATACTCAAAAAAATTAACCAGTCAATTGATCAATAGATAAAAATACAAAACAAATATAATCCTTACATAAACATAAAGTACTTCAATTAAAATTTTTAAAATCTTCTATCAAAGCCGAAATAAAACTTATACGACTGTCAATAAAGAAACTCCTTCAGCCTTAAGAATATACTGTTACCAAGCTCCTAAACTTTCTAAAAAGTCATATAATAACTGGAACAGACCAGAAACTTCTCGGACTCCTAACTTCCTTACTGGGTTTTATCAGGAACAATGTGAAGCAAAATCTTTGTATGGCCACACAGCTCAATAGTGGAGGTAATCTATAAGTTATGCATATTCTCATAATAACGATGATGACTATGACCCATGGCTTCTATAATCAGCAATCAGAAGAGTGGCTTATCTCAGATATTGGAGCAGTTCTGCCATTCCATTCCGTACATGTCAGGAATGATTTACAATACATGAAATGTGATGGGTCAGATACCCAAACACATACCATCCTAATACCACCTAAAGTCAGTGTAAAATATGGATCTAATTAGGGCAAAAGTAACATATGACTCTTCTATAGTTCCAATCATGTAAATAATTAGTGTTTGAGATGGAATATTACTGCTGCGAAGGCACCTTCTGCATATGTAACATATTTATCCTGGTAGAAATAAGTAATTTATATTTGATGCAATTCATAATAAATACATTTTACATTATGTATATTATATACAGTATACAGTATGTGTATACATACTTTGAACTATATATCTTAAACCAAAGTTTCACAAAACAATATTTATGTATGCTACTTTTGTGTGTGTGTGTGTGAGACAGAGTCTTACTATGCAGCTCAGGCTGGTCTTAAACTCACTTTGTAGCCCAGGCTGGTCTGGAACTCGCAACGATCCTCCTACCTCAGTCTCAGAGTACCGGGATTACAGGCGTGCGCCACCACGCCCAACTCTATGCTACTTGTGATGTGTTCTGTCGCCTATTCTACTCCAATCTAGATTCAATTTTACAAATGTTTGGACTTACTAAATTAATCTTTTGATCCATTAATAGATGACACTGCATAATTTACAGTGATGTGCTTTTTACCCTTTCTACTACTTAAATGTTTTTCCTTTATTTCAGCTGATTTAAAGACTTTCTTTTCTTTCTTGGAGGTGGGATTGACTAGGGCCTACCACTTAAACGCAGGGCCTATCACTTCTAGTCCCAAGACATTTTCTGAGGGGATGAAAGAAAACTTTGGGTAGGCAGCAAGTATCAGAGATTGACTCAGAAAGTCTGAGAGCGGCCTACAAGCAAGAAAGCAGTCCCAGCACCCAGAAATCTAGTGGATCCTAAGTACACACTGGGCCCTTGACAAATTTTCTTGAGTTTTACAGTAAATAAAAGACGGTGTTTTATTGTTGGTTTAGAGTCACACCATAGGGCAGTAATTTTCACTGGAGAAAACCAAGGCCTAATGGCAGATTCGTGGAGATCTGGGCCACAGAGCTCAAGCCCGGGTCACAGCCCACTTCCGGGTCTCTGCAGGGTTCCCTCCTCAGCGCCCCACATCGGAAACCGGCACACTGCTGCTTCCCCGGATGGAGCGGAGAGGGGCTAAGGTCCGGAAGGCCAGCCCTGCAACCTTCCTTTCAGTTCGCATCACAAAAGCCCAGGGAAGGCAGAGAGGGGAGCCCGTGGGCGCCGCAGCCCCCAGGCGCAGCTGACCGCAGGGCTGAGCAGGAGCGTGCGGCCCAGGGCCAGGTCGGGGATCCTCGGCCTGCGGGGATGGGGACGTCGGCTGCCCTGCTCTGCCCTACCCTGCCCTGCGCGGGGCAGCCGCAGACTCAGCCTGGCCGGGGTGGTGCCAGCTGCCGTGAGGGGTCCGACCCATGCACACCCGAGCACGCAGAGCCTGGGGTGGGCCTGCGCCGATGGCCTCACCTTCGCCCTCACCTTCGTCCTGCTGCGTCCAGACCGAGGCCTTGAAGCCACGAGGGACCCGACCGCTGTGCATGCTGGGAAGGGTGTGGGGTGGGGGTGGGGAAGCAATCGAGGGACCAACACCTTCTGGGGTCAACGTGATAACCGCTTCCTTTATAGTGATTTTTCCCATGGGTTGCTTTACCTAGACCACACTCCAAATGGGCACACTGACCTGGTGACATTGGTGTCACTAACGGTTCAGAGGGCCTAGGTCACTTGTCCAAGCCAACCAGTTTGTGGCTCCACCAAGTTTGAACCTAGGTCTTTTATACTTTGGAGCCAGCTGCCCCTCCGCAAGCTCTCCGGAGGGCCGGTGACACTGTAACAGTGAGGAAGGGGAATAATCCCTGGAATAATTCAGAAAGCTGGCAACCCCAGGCCTGTGTGATCTCTCTTTACAAGGTTGAATAAACAGAGACAGATTGATAAATACGAGGTAGACCAAAGACAGCCACCACACCTATCTCCAGCGAAAGAAAAGAGGGAATTTTAATTCTCTGAATACTTGATTAAAATAAAAGTAATGAAAACCACCTATAGAGCAAATAGTATAAAGGAATAGTTAAAAAGAAAAGTCTTTGGAGCCAGAGAGCCCTGGGTTTACACTCTCACTCTCAGTGCACTAACTTTGGGATGTGTGAGCACCAGCTTTTTATTAGCCTTTTAAAATGCCAGTTTCCTCATCAGTAAAATGAGAACAACCATTCCCCTAGATGTCCTGATGGTTGAATAACAGTTCTAAAGTATTAAGCATAATATCTGGAGAGATTATGCCTTGAGAAAATACTAGCTCCTTTTATTATTAGGATAAACAAAAAATTAGAAAGTATCTGCCATGTGTCATTATTCAAAAACAATTTAATTATTATGTCTTATTAAATCTTAAGTCTTAGGCCGGGGATATGGGTAAGTGGCATAAGTGCCTGCCTGGCAAGCTCAAGGTCCTAAGTTCGATTCCTGGTACCAACAACAACAAAAAAAAGAAACGAAAAAAAAAAAATCTTAAGGCTTAAAATGTTTGAGAGGAAAAGTCAAGGAGGTGGGGTACAGGTTAACATATGAACAGATCTGGCTGAAAGGAGATTGTAAAGAAATAGAAAAATCATAGATTTGAAACACGCTCAGGAGAGGATGGTGAGTTGATACTGGAGAAGATCAAATCAAGAATGAAGCAGTGGAATTCAGATACCTTCCCAAAGCACACAGCAGCAAGAACAAGGGAGGAGGGCTCAGACCAAGAATATTAAATCAAAGCATGCATACATCAACTGTGATGAGCTAGTTGTGCAACACGAAAGCCCAGCCTTAGATTATCCCAGTGCCCTTTGCTCTATTTAGATACTGCCTAGTTTTTTTCTGTTCCACCAGCAGGTCCCTATGACTCAAGCCGCACAGCCAGAGGGACAGTACTAACTGCAGGAGCGTTCCAGTATCAGCTGCTCTACATATCACTCCTCCAGATGGCATGCCGCTGGGTCTGTGAGTCCAGCCTTCCACGGTGGAGATGTCACCACTGACCTATAATACTCAGAATGACACACTGTCTCTGCAGGTGGCCCCTTGACGTGCTTCACAGCAGAGTGTTAAAAACAAGATAAACAGTACTGTTTATTTACTTTTTACAATGCTGTTAAAACAAATGCCTTGAATGGAACCCTGGCGGCTGCAGTCTGCTTGCCAGTCCTGGGAAGTACAAAGTGCCTATGTGAAATCTGTTTCCAAATTCCCAATTGTAGGTGTGCTGATAGCTCTTTTGCTCACACACACACACACCCATCTCAGAGACTCCGGCTGTGTGTGGTTGATCCCAAATAGTCCTCTGATTCCGTTCTTAATTTGTGATAAAATGTGTGATATAGGAAAGAAGCTGTTGGCAATTGATTTTAGAAATTTCTAGTTCATCACTCATCTTCCCAGCTGTGTTATCATCAGATTACTCATCTTCCCGCCCACGCAATCATCAGATCACTCACTGTACACATTAAGATGGATATACTTTTTTTTTTTTTTCCGGCACTGGGAATCGAACTCACGACCTCGTGCTTGCCAGGCAGGCACTGTGCAACTGAGCTAAATCCTCAGCCCTAAGATGAAGCACAGTAAGGAGGACATATGCCACGGACCAGAGGTGTAGCTCAGGACTTGTCTACGCACGCAGGAGGCCTTGCGCTCCATCCCTAGAGCGACCCCACACACATACTCAAGAAGCTATAGCCACAGTCCAAAAGGAACACGACATGACAACAAAAAATCATCTTGGCAATCCACTGAACAAGGGAAAACTTTTCTCAGCACTGTAAAGAAAAATAGTAAAATCAAGAAAGAAGTTTAAAAGACAATTTACAGGACAATGAAAATTCAAACATTGAATTCTGTTTTATACAAGTAGGCTTTACTACTCATGTCCCTTTTACAGAAAAACAAACAAAAATATCCAGTGATTTTGAGATGTTTTGGGGGAACAGTCCCTATACTTAACTTGAAAAGCAAAGTTACTAGCAATCACAAAAGTATTGCTAGTGTGTTCACTTCCTAGGCCTCCAGCGAGAACTGTGTCTAGCAGGAAGTTTGAAGCACTTAAAAACCACAGACATACACATGATCGCTCTTAGAAAGTACTTTTCTTATAAACCCTAGGTTTTTTTGTTTTGTTTTGTTTTGTTTTTGGTACCAGGAATCAAACTCAGCACCTTGCGCTTGCCAGGCAGGTGCTTGTGCCGCTGAGCTATATCCCTGGCTCAACCCTATGTTTTTAGCTGGACCAGCTTAAACAATTAGGCAGGTTCTTATCTTCAACCACTGAACCTTTCTTCTCTACAAAACATTCCTCTTCATGTTAGTGAAAAGCTGTAGTCTCTCATCCATGGGAAGGGCGAAACAGCTCCTTGTTTCAGGTGGACCAACTCTTTCCTTTTTATTATTTTGGTACTTGGAATGAAGCACTGAGCTATATCTCCAGGTTTTTTTAGGTCACTAAATTGTCTAGGGTGGGATTCAACTTGAGATCTTCCTGCCTCAGCCTCCGTCACTTATTTTGAGGCTATTGATATGTGAACAACCTCCTCATTAAATGCCTGGCTGTCCACCCTGTGTAAGTGGGTCACTCAGAAGCTCTATGTATATGGTGACGTTTGCAACTGTGGACTTCATGGTAAGTAGCTGGGCTTGGGTGAGTAACTGGCTGGGTGGAGAGACTGCTAGTGTCAGCATCTTTAGACCTTTTCACTTGGGATTAAGTCCCCAGAAAAGCCTCTTCTAGGCTCCTGCCCAAAGTCAGAAGTGTTCTGGAAGCAGAGGTAGGGGAAGGAAATAGATTTCAACATTTAGGATGTGAATATCCAATTTCCCTTACTTTCAGGGCATTTTCCCTATCCTCAGCCACATGTCTGTAGGGATCTGAAGATCCTGTTTTACTCATGGAAATGATTTTTTTCAGTCTGCCAGGGGTGGGGAAGACAATGGTTTAGCTAAATGGAGTGAGTCATGGGATCTGCGGGGTAACTGTTGCTTGAAAAGGCGGTTCACCGGCTGTCATTGGTAGCGTGGTACTTGATACTCCAGCCTCCCAAGCCTTCAGATGGCTCCGCCTTGTAAATCAGGCCACTTCTCAGCTTTGCTCACGCTAGATTAAGAAATTAGCTTTCTTGGGTCTGCCAAATCAATTTATCACCTACCTATCTTTCCACTTTCAACGCTGCTTCCTCCTTTCCCATGTCCTAGTGTGTTTTATTGCTCTTGAGTTTGGTCGCTTTACTGTGGTGACGATGGTGTCTAGGGGGAAGAAGCCAGACAGGGCATTCAGCGGGATCTCCCCTTTTCCATTCCGGTTGCCCTGGCTTCGGGGAACTTCTGCAACCAACTCTTGCCAGCCTTCCTTCTTGTCAGTCTGGCCCCTATGTTGCTACACAAGTGACTTTATCACCAGTTCGCCACTGCCTGTAGAACAGAATTACTCAGCATGGTATAACTGGACATTAATATGCTTTTCTATTGTGACTTGTTGCATCACTCACCGCCCATTCCCAAAGCTGCAACTGTTTTTACCGCACACAGCCACTGCCTTCTATGTTGAAGACAGGAAATAAGTCACGTGAAAGGATGCTGGAAGCAGATTACCCACATCCATTAACTAAGCTCTGCTACGTTACCAGTTAGATCTTGGGCGGGTTGCTTAACCTCCTTATCTGCACAACAGGGCTCGTAATAGTACTGTGAGGATTTGAAAAGCACTTTAAAACATTGGCTGGTATCTAGGAAGTCTAATGTAAATATTAATTATAGTTCCCTGCACATCTGTCTGCCCCAGGAGTTTATCAAGCTCTGGGAGAAGAATCTCTTCTCATTTATTCAACATTTGTGGTGTGTCTGATGTGACAGTTGCTAGCCGCTAGAGACAATGTAAAAAGAACCTGGCAAGTGGAAAGACCGTTGACTAATGATTCAAATATAATGTGACAAATGCCACACTCCGTGAAAGGGCAAAGTGCAGAGCACACAAGGTGTGTAAAATCTAATGGTCCTGAACAAATTGGGAAGGTTTCCCAAGCCTAACACTCAATATGGGGCTTGCCGAAAGCATATGCAGGGGCAAGAGGCTGTGCTGAGCAGGGAAGTGGGCAGGTAGAGATCCCCAGGTGAGGCTGAAGAAGCATGTTAGACCCGCTGTGCAAGGCCTTGTATAACCCACTCAAGTCTACACAGACTACCCGGCCTGTCTCTGACACTGGCACCCTGGCTGTGCCGTGGACAGTTTTGAGGTGTCAATAGCAATATGTTACTAATAATAGCTGAACTGTGGCTGCTCGACATTTTAAAAATGTTATAAAACACTGTAGAACTAAGCAATGTAGAACAAAGAAGCCATAAACAAAAAAATACATATACTAGAATTCCAATTATATAAAAGCATCCTCTGCCCCTTAAAGTTAACTACACCGTCTCAATTCAGGATATAGTTACCTTTAGGGGTAGTGACTGGAAGGAGATCCAAGGGGATTTCTGGGGGGCCACTAATGCTGTTTTCTGACCTAGGTGTTGCTTCTACAAGTTTCTTGTATCTGGAGTTATCAGTAAGCCATAAATACCTATATGTATACTTTCCTGTATCTCTTATGCTTTGAGTTACAGCACATGAAGTAGGTCTGTGACATTTTTGTGCTTACTTTCACTGGTGTCCACTGATTACTTGTTGGGCAGATAGTACTTGTTGCCTGTTATTTTATTAGGTTTAATCTGAAAACACCTCCTGGATGCGCTGAATGGCCAACGACAGTCAACCACACTACCTACGGTCTTCAGCACCAGCAGGGTTTGGTGCGTATCTGCACGTATGTGTGTGTGTGTGTGTGTATGTTGTGAACTTATACCCTAGACTCAATTGTACATGTAGAAATTCTGAAATACCAGCATTCAGCATACCTATCATATTTCCCCCCATTTTATCTAAAGAATTGATGGTTTATTTATCATATACAGAGATACAGGTAAAAAAAATCTGCATGATTTATAATCCGTTCAACAATATGAACCCTTAGGAACACAGTTTTCTTTTCTCAAAAGTTATTTTTATTAAAAATAATTTATCCAGCTAAAAACAAAAGAACACAAGGAAGGTATGAGAAGCAAAAACCTTTTCCTTTGACTGGTCTCCCAAGGCCATGACTATGACGACCCTCTCACATATTCTTACAGACATGCTTTATATATATAGTCAGCCTTCTGCATTGTGGGCTCAACCGGCAGGCTGAAAATACTCCAAAAATTGTGTCTGTACTGAACATGTAGAGACTTATTTTTGGTCATTATTTCCTAAAGCATGACAGCTAGTTACACAACACTTATATTGTATTAGGTGTAAGTAATGTAGGAGGATGTGTAGGTTATATGCAATAGTAGGCCGTTTTATACAAGGGATTTGCATACCTTAATTGGTGGTGGGAAGGTCTTGGAACCAATTCCTTGTGGAGAGCAAAGGATGACTGTATAAATATGTGCATTACTCCTGCCCCACTATACTTTCCTTACACTAGTGGGAACCCAGTATATTTTTCTGTTTCTGTCTCTCTAATGGAGATGCTTTGTATCTACAAACATGAATATAACTGTTTATACATAGGTGGTATTCCAACACACACACACACACACACACACACACGCACACATTCTGATTTACTTAACCAGCTATTTCCAGTCTTTTGCTTTTAAAACAATTGAATATTGTCAAACCTATCTTTGATGTGCTTTTACATTTATAATACACACAGTGGTGCATACCTATTAGTTCTTATCACTTAGGAAGCTAAATCAGGATAGTATGAGCCCAGGAATCACAGGTCAGTTTGGGCAGCATAAAAATAAGTAAACCATGGTAGAAACGGACTCAGTGCACATCCTTATCAAGTGTGTTATCAAACTTTTTGACTTTTGCATCTCTATTCGGTTAACAGACTGTTTTGTGTGCGTCTGGCGGTGCTGGAGATTGAACCCAGGGATTTCACACTGAGATGCATCCCAGCACTTTTTCTATTTTTTAATTTTGAGCCAGGATATTGCTGAGTTGCTGAGTTGCTAAGTTGCCCAGGTTAGGCTTGAACTTGAGATTTTCCTGCCTCAGCCTCCCAGGGTGTGGGATTATAGATGTGTGCCATCACGCCTGGCTAACACTGACTGTTGCAATCACTGTACATGATCAAATACTAAACCAAATACGTTATGTTTTAATCTTCCTTACATGGTTTAGTTTCCTTACATTTCTCTACCAAAGGGTCATTTACAAAATATTTTAAGGACATTTTAGATTAATGATAGATTCATTACCACAATACAGTTGCTACTCATAGTACACAAATCTAATAAACATGAAAATTGGAGTTATCACTTTCTTGAAAAAGATAAATTATTCATGTCACAACTATGTTATTTATTTATTTATTGAGAAACGGTCTTGCTACACTCCTTGGCTTAGCCTCAAACTCACCATCCTCCTGCCTCAACTGCCAAAGTAGCTGTGATTATAGGCCCAGCTTTTCACAGCAATTTTAAATAAGCATCATATTCAAAAGCTGGGGCCATCACAACACCTGACTTCAAAACATGCTACGAAACTACAGTAGTCAAAACAGCATGGTACTGTCATAAAAACCACACAAACCAATGGAACAGCATAACAAACCCAGAAATTAACCCATATATTTACAAACAACTGTTTGTTGACAAAGCACCAAGAATAGCAATTTGGCAAAGGACAATCTCTGCTTAAACAGTACTGAGAAAACTGGATATATATATATTTAAATAAATGAAATTAGATCCCTACTTCTCACCATATAAAAATCAACTCAAAATGGATCAAAGACCTAAATGTAAGACCTGAAACTATGCAGCTACTGTAAACATAGGGAAAACACTGCAAGACACTGACATTGGCAAAAATAATCTCGTTAAGACCCTATGAGAAACTCACTGCAAAATAACAAATAATCCAGTTAATAAATAGGCAAAATACCTATAGATGGCCAACAACTATATGAAAAAAGTTCAACATTACTAACTGTGAGAGAAACGCATATCAAAACCACAATGAGATAATATGCCACTCTCCTTAGGCTATTACCAAAAAGACCAAAAAAAAAAAAAAGGAAAAAAAAAAAGAAAAAAAGCTGGAGAGCATATGGAGAAAGAACTCTTAAACCTTGCTGGTGGGAATGTAAGTTATTAGTAAAGTCATTACAGAACATAATAATATAGAGGTTTCTCCAAAAGCTATTAACAGAACTACTATGTGATCCTGTAATCCTACTAGCGGGTATATATCCAAAGGAAATTACATCAGCATCAAAGAGACATCTGCATACCCATATTTAGCATATTTGCAGTATTATGCACAATAGTCAAGATATGAAATCGAGCAAGACATCCATTGATGGAAAAACACATAAAGGAAATGTGGCACTGCATATATACATAGTGGAATATTGTTCCATTAAAAATAATAAAATTCTGTCGCCACTGTAACAACATGGATGAAACCAGAGGATATATGTTACATGAAGTGAGACAGGCATAGAAAGATAAACGCTGTTTATTCGCACAATTCCATGGAAGCTAGAAAAGTTGGTCACAAACACAAGAAACTAGAAGTAGGAGAAAGGAAGGAACAGGGGTTGGACAACAGGTACCAAAATACACTTAAGTAAGGAATTGGTTCTCGTGTTGTATAGTGCAGTAGTGTAACTATACAACAACATATACATTTTATAATTACTTGAGCAAGAATTTGAAGGTTCTCAACACAAAGAACTGATACTATTTGAGGAATCGGAAATACTGATTACTCTGATTTGGTTATTAAATATTATATAATGTATCAAATTGCAATGCTATACCCCATGAAGTACAAATATATATGCTAAATGGTTTTTAAAAGGTTATGTTCATAGAGTAGACCATGTATAAAGAACCAATTACTTCTCCCAAATTTTCGTTTTCTAACACTTTAACATGTAAATACTTCAGAGAGAGGTAATAACTACACTGGGTGTCTTTTCAATATTCATGTCCAACTAGAGCCCATGAGTGGGATCTTTAAAAATGAGGTCTTTGTAGATATGATCAAGATGCAGTCAGACTAGATTAGGGGGCCCTAATATCATGGCTGGTGCCCTTATAAGACAGACATGCCCCCAGGGAGAACATCATGAGAGGTACAGAATGGGGTGATGCAGATACAAGCAAGCGACACCCAGCATTAAGCAGGGAAGGCCTCTTCTCTATGGCCTTGAGGAAAAGCATGGTTCTGCTGACCCCTTGACTTTGCACTTCCAGCCTCCAGAACCAATGGCGAAGCAATTTCACTTCTGAGCTGCTAAGGATGTGGTAATTTGTTATGGCAGCCCTAGGGAGCTGATATAATAACCATTTCAAATTTTGTGTAACTTTGAACCACCATGATTTGCAAGTGATGCAGAACTGTACCGAGTGACTTGTCATTTGATGTCTCTTTTACAGGCACTATGCTGCTTCCAATAAAGCAAAAGAAAGACTTGACATAGAAAACCCTTCTGCAGTGTTTTTCTTTTTAAACTATTATTTCATTAATACACAATTTATATTAAGGGAAAACAATTCCTGGAAATAAAATACCACATTCTACAAAAGGCTGACACTTTGATTATATACTGCCTCTATACGTTTTAACAACTTCAGAAGTGCAGCTGGGTTATAGGGGAAGAGATTTTTCTTCTGCAAACGGTAAATGGCACCTTGTAGCTCTTCAAAGCATTTGACTATGCTATGAAATATTCCTAGTTCAGAGACAGTATTATTTGGGGCTACTTCATAGTTCATAGGGAAGGAAGCTGTAGATTCTTTTGGAACCAGAAGGCTTGACTGAGGCTCTATGCTAAGTTCTTCTTTACCCCTACTTGTCTCAGCCGGGTCTTGAATTTTCTTGCTTGCTTGTTGGAAAAATATGTGTTGGTTGTTTGCTAAACACTGGCCTGTGGATTCTGCTTCAGAATCATCAGAGCTGTCATACTCGACCAGACTCCGAGAAGCCTGGGAAGACAGAGCATGACCTCTCACGGTACGGGTCTCCTGGGACATCACAGCCTGCTTCAGAGGCGCAGAAGACTCCCCAGAAGCCCAGGGAATGCAGGTGTAAGCACGAGTGTGTCTATCAGGGGCAGTCAAACAATGAGGCGGTGTTTGGTCGCTGCTTCGGTCTTGGACAAGTGAGGGGACACAGCCACAGAGATTTATGCCACGCTGAGATTCGGCTGCATCGAAGACCTTGCAAATGGTGAAAAAAGCATCCCAGTCTTTCTGTAGTAACTTTAAATATCTAACAAAATATTCAAGAAAACAAGTCTCCGATGAAATTAAAAAGTCAAGAAGAACTGTAGAATCAAATCCTATACTTTTTAAGAAGAAGGTGAAAATACAGTGGGGGTTATAGCCGTTTTCATGTGTGTGACGGACCCACGTTTCTTTTTCTTGGGTCACACTTCCGGGAGCTTCGCGTTCTCTAAAAGGAAGATAATGGAGGATCCAGATTAATGACTTTCTGCAAATGTAAGAGTTTTCACAAACCACACATTTATCTATTGGATTATTTTAATCTATGCATTATTTTAAAAGAAAAAATTAAAGCCATTCCATTCCCCACAACTCTAAATAAATTTGATTCAATAAAATAAAGCCCACTGACTCTGGCAGTTCTAATTTTTGTCTGTCCAATGTAAGTCCTCTGTCATCCCTTCCCCTGACATCAGAACCCCTCATTTTCATGGGCAGTCAACTACATGGCAAGGGGTAGTGGGGCTGGAGCCTAAACCTTCTTTCTTGATCCACCAATGTAGCTGGGCATGTGACCTACACTGATCAATCAGTGCCCATGGTTCTGACCATAACAACGTGTTTTAACAAGAACCTGGGACCCAAATGGGCTATCAGATCTCCCCTGGAACTCTTATTGGCAGTATGAAAGATTGTAACTGTAAGACCCCTGGAGGGCTGGAACTGCTTGTAGCCATACCTGAGAAAAAATTGAGTTGTGAGACAGTAAAAAAGAGAAACAGATGATGCTGTGATTTTTTTTTTTAAATTTTAAAGAGAATAAAAAATTTTAAAAAATAGAAACAATACACAATTTCAAAACAATAGGAAATTTATATTGCATATTGTTATTTTCAAAATAGTTGTTCAGATTACCAGATATACACATGCAAAACTGATCAAACAATTAAGAATTAACTGCTCCTTTCAATAAACCAATAAATTAGTATTATCTTAGCTATCCTGTGTGTGTGTGTGTGTGTGTGTGCATGTGTGTGTACATATTTCCCTTCCTTCCTTTTTTCCCCTTTCCCTCATCCCAGTTGTTCTTTCCTTTTGAGCAGTTTCTTTGCCTTTCACAGTATCTATTGTACCTTTCAGATTTTATTTACTCTTTCAGTTTCTTACACAGTGGAGAAAATACGATGTTTACACATGCGGGTCTGATTTATTTCATTTATGAGTATGGTCTCTACTTGCATCCATTTACCTATAAAAGCCTCGAGCTTATCTTTCTTTATAGCTGAGCAGTACTCCAGTAAAAAAGACGTGGTACTTTTATACGATGGCATGATTTGAATCCCTGTATACAGTTATACCTGATGCCAACTTAATCCCTTCAAACTTCCAATCATAAGCCAATAATTTTTTGCTGATTAAACTAGTTTACATTAGTTTCTGTCATTCACAACCAAAGAATAACATCACTGATACATTTTTAAAAATAAGTATACACCTGTCTGGACACTCTGAGCTGAGGCTAAGAAAGTGAGAAATTCCCACAGCAGTCAAACAATTCAGAGGCTGCCTTCTCCTCGGGGACTAAGAAGTCAACTTTGAGTGCAATGAAGATACTCAAACAGGATTGTGCATTTTCAGTCTAAATTTCTCTTTGCCCGTTTTTGAGCCTAATTCAAATCACATGCAGGAATTCTGTGTTCTTGATTAGAGCCTTTTTAAAATTGGCCTAAAACACTCACAGTCTGAGAGCAGCCACTGCCAGAAGTGTCATAACACAGTACGTACTGGCAGCACAACGCTGCACCGCCGATCATTAGTAAGAAATCCCTTTCTCCCAGGCCAAGAGGGAAATGGAAATAAAGCAAATACTTTCGGGTTTTAATAAAGTAAAGGAGGAATAGTGGAAAAGGTCATTAGTTATTAGCTTCGTAAGCAATTACAGATATTTGCCACACCGAGATACTGCTACAATAGTTGTTTTAAGCAGAAACAGAACCCATATAAATGTCATCGGTAACATAACTTCATAAGCGATTTCAGATACATGCCTTAAGAAGGTATTAGCCCCAGTGTGGCTGCATAATAAAGGGAAAATTTGGAACCGCTCCTCTGACTATTTGTATGTTTGTACTCACGTTAACAAAGACAAAAATTAACTTATAAAAGCTTGACAGAGAAAAGTAAGTCTTAGAGGTGAAAAATGGTCTCAAACATCAGTTGGGCTTCAGAGCAGCACACTACCTTGTGCCTGGCCACGCAGGTGAAACAGGTGGAGGCGAACCAGGAATGTGAGGGCCAGATCCCAATCTACTTCGACTACCCCCAATCTGCCAGCCAGCCAAATATTCATCACAATGTAAGTGTAATCTTGCTTTTATGTAAGGTTGGGTTAGAGAAAGGAACTGAACTTATGAGCAGTCCACAAGACTTCCCCCCAAGGACGGAAAGTAAGTAATACACCAGCACATTTTCTGAAATGTTTCCTATTTTTGGGGCTTGCACAAGCTCAACAGTTACTTTTAGCCACTAACCTGATCAGCTTTAGGTAAATGCTCAGTACCGCTTTGGCAGCCTCCAGCATATCATCGTCTTGTTCTATGAAGACCCTGGACAGCCATTCACACGGGTGGTGTAACTGCAGAAAAGGCTGAAGGTGAGGCTTTAAGAAGGTCAGCAACTCAGACATGAACCTCTGCAAGTCAACTTTGAAAAAAGCAAATTTGAAAGTGTAGGCAACAATTTACGAACACATTAATATTTCAAGTGTCTAAAGTACCTAAAGTATATTAGCACAATTCATACCTTCAGAAAGTCCTGTGAGTTGGGATTATCTCTATTTTGCAAACGAAGGAACTGAGGCTCAGGAAAAGTGACTTAATAAAGATCATTCATTTAAAATGTACTGATCACTGCTTTGCCACAACTGCCAAGTAACTAGGTACACTAAGTCTGCAAAACAAATGTTACTGGATTTCTTACTAAAAGCATATCAATAAATGAACTGAAAACAGAGATCTGTTCATTGGCTACAACCGTCTATTACTAAAGACAACAATGAAACCAAACAAAAAATAGTCTTGCTTTTAAAATAACAGAAACATATTTTTGTTAAAGCATTAAAAGAACTACTGTTACGCAAAAAAAAAAAAAAAAAAAGATTCTGGGGTATTTTGACTGCAAGTTCAAACTCCAAATTATATAACACATGCCACCTAGTGTTGTAAATTATATTTGCACAGAACAACTAATTAAAAACGGAACGAAATCCAAAACAGTCCAGGGAAGCTGCTTCTTACACTTCAAAGTTTTCATGCGAAGTATTTGCTGCTGTCTGAGACTTTACTATTCAATTGTGCAGCAGAAGGTGGTACCTTCCCAGATACCCATACTGAAAATCATACTTTTTCAGGTGTTCTCTGAACTTTTGAAATAAAATGCAATATCTATCTTCTTACATATTCAACTCAATTTATAATTATCAATAGTCTATGTAAGTAGGTGCTCCACAAAATGAATGAAAAACTAGATAAAATACTACAAACACTTGAATATAAATTAGCTTCTACCACTCTGAGATGACATGACAGTGGCTTATTTTTAAACCTCAGTCATTTATTGTGGTATACACATTCAGCGTGGCCCACAAAAAGTTGCCCACGTTCATGACAATTTCAACTCTCTCTTTGCTGGGGGAAATATTTAATAAATTATAACCAGGAGAACATACAACTTAAATTAGTGGAATTTATACTAGTCCCACCATTTGATAATTATGAATTAATAATATATTATTTTGCATGAAAAAGGAGTTTGGAGAATTACCTTTCATTTCATTTGCAGAGGAACAGTTTCGAAACTTGATTTCTAAGGACTTCACTATAACTAAGCTCGCAGCTCTAAGGAGCACATGGTCTGGACCAGTGATGTCTTCACACGCAGGCTGAACTTCACTACCTCCAAAGTAAGGCCGTTTTCCATGAACAGACCATGTCTTCAACAAACCCAGATCCACAGTTTGTAAAACAGCATTAGCTAAAGCCAACATGTCCACATCTAAAAGATGGTCGGGTGACGTCAAGGCAAGCACAGGTGCATGACACAGGTCTTCACCCGCCTTACACAGAAGGCACTTTTTGATAAATATGATCAGCTTCCTTTTGACAAAAGCTTGAATAGGCCAGGCAAGAATGTCTAGCACACACGAAGGTTTCAAAAATAAAACCTTCTGGCTCCTGAAATGTAACTTCATGTAGATTCTGGAGGCTATCAGAAGTTCAAGTAAGTCCAAGAAACTCATTAAGCTGTTTGTTATCTTAGAAGGATCCTGATGGTATTCAAAATGCTGGGAAAATAAGGAATTGTAGAACACTTCAAAAGTAGCGTCAAAAGTAGCCAGGAATTGCTTTAGAATTTCTGCAATAACAGGAATAGTAAACATAAGCAACAAGAAAAACAAAGGCTTCTTAAATACAATCAGAATACAATTTTTATAAATATATTTTATAGTATGAAAACATATATTTGGAATATTTACCCTTAACAAGAACAAATGATACACAGATCAAAAACAAATAACTACAGTTGACATTCATTTTACAAATATAAAAAATATCAGACTGTGCAAGACATATATAGTAATGAAAAGCTTTAATTTTTCCATATACAGTTTTTTCTTTTAAAAGAAGTTAAAATGGTGCTGGAAAAACTGGCTTTCCACACGCTGAAGACTACAATTAGACCCATGTCTATCGCCATGCACTAAACTAAAATCAAAATGGATCAAAAATCTAAATATTAAAACAGAAACACTAAATCTGCTGGAAGAGAGAATAGGTAGAACTCTTGAAGACACTGGTGTAGGCAAAGACTTCATGAACAAAACCCCAGCTGCATGGCAAATAATACAAAGAATCAACAACTGGGATCTCATCTTATTAAAAAAACTTCTGCACAGCAAAGAAGTCTCCAAAAGAGTAAAAATATAACCCATAGAGTGGGGAAAGAAATTTAGCCAGTCATTCCTCAAACAAAAGACTAATATCTAGAACATATAAAGAAATGAAAAAAATCAGACCCCCCCCTCCCAATTAAAAGACCCAATCCAAAAACGGGCATCTGAAATGAACAGATACTTCTCAGAGGAAGAAGCAGAAATGGCAAATAAATATATGAAAACATGTTCAACATCACCAGTCATTCAAGAGATAAAAATTACAGCAACGCTGAGATTCCATCTCACCCCAGAAAGAATGACTGTTATTAAGAAATCAACCAATAACAAATGCTGGAGGGGCTGTAGGGAAAAAGGAACCCTTCTCCACTGTTGGTGGGAGTGTAGACTGGTACAATCCCTGTGGAAATCAGTGTAGAGATCCCACAAAAAACTAGCATTAGAGGTCCCACTTGATCCAACTAGTCCCCTTCTTGGTATCTTCCCCAAAGAATTATGAGCATCATACCACAGTGATATATGCACACCTGTGTTTATAGCAGCACAATTTGTAATAGCTAAATCTTGGAAACAGCCCAAATGCCCATCAACTGAGGAATGGATAAAAAAGATGTATTTTTTTAATACAATGGAATACTACTAAGAGATCATACTCAAGTGAAATAAATCATACAAACATATAAATATTGCATTGTTTCTCTGTTATTGAGAAACTGAAAATGTAAATAAAAACTGAAATGTAAATAGATATTGTGAAATACAAAAAAATTGTTCAAAAGGAGGGGAATTAGAGAGGGGCAGAGGGAAAGGAAGTGAAAAGAAAAAATGATAAAAAAGAAAGATAAAATAGAAACAAAGCTTTGTAAATAAGGAGGGGAGGAGGGGTTGCAGGGAGGTGAGCAGCATGGGAAAAAAAGAGGCATCAAGATGTACCATGTACAGGTACAAATTTCCTATGATGATGTGATCATGATATATATCTTTAGTTGTACCAAAAAACTTAGTGATAATAGAAAAGAATTTATCTTCTTTTAAAAATATATAGGTGAAGATTCTTTAGTTTTTTTATACTTCAACAGAAATCAAACATAAGTTTTATTCTTCATTATAAATATAATGTTCCTGGGAGCAAGGTGACAAGTCATTTATGGGACAATATAGTCATACCTGTTTTTTCTGAACATGTGTCTTTAAAGATTTCTTTTATTACAGCTGTAAGAATCCAGAGGCAATGTATTACTTCATTATTCTCGGAGTATTCAGAAAGATTATTTTGGCAAAAAACAATCCAGGAACTACTTAAGGTTATCTACAAGTGAAAAATAAAAAAGGTAGTAAAAATAAATTAAGATGCATTACATGCATGCATGTACCAACTCCCCACCATGAACGCAACTGTAAGGTACTGTACGCACGCACTAATACAAATAAAACCAAAGCAGTGTTTTCTTTATGGTTACAAATCACTTACTATACACAGTATAATACATAACACATTGTCTATTTGTTTGCTTTAAAAAAGCATGATAAAATTTGGTAAGAAAAAGAAGGAACAGAAATACCCTAATATTCTTTATATCAAGAAATTCAATATGCCATACAAATACCAAAAGGAAACATGAAAATACTAGCAGTATTATTTATAGGTAATGCAGTGAAGTATAATTTTTATTTTGTTCTTAATACTTTGCTTCATTTCCCAAATACACCACCTTAAATATACCACTTTTATGTTCAGAAAAATGGTGAGTAGATGTTCAGATTTGCTTATTAATTTGTTCAGAGGTAAGAGAATTACCTCTGATTTTGAATTTGTTCATATCATTTTTTGTTATGCCATTAGTAGACTTTATTTATGTCAAAACTGTGAAAATGGGTTCAGTCTCAAATAGCAGTTCCTAAACCTTTTTGGAGGAAGGGTGCACTACGGACTTGAGAGTACAAATCAAGCTGTGGCCTAAAACCCACCTCTTGTATTAAAAGTCTGATTATTATCATTTACAATACATTTAAGACTCTTAATTCTTGATACCGGCAACCATGATACTACTTCACTCTTATGGGTGTGGATTTACACATTATTATGTGGGCAAATATTTTATTAATACCAATACAGGTGCTCCTCGCTTAATGATCTGTTAACAACTGTTCTGACTTATGACCCGCCTTTTCTTTTGCACAGTTCTGTTCACCTTGTTGATACAGCCTCAGTGTCTTTTTTTGTACAGTACACCTTGTTAATACGGTACTGTGATTTTTGATTACACTGTACAGTATAGAACTGTAGGTTTATGTTATATATTATAGTACTACTTTTAGGAGTTATGCAAATAAAAGCAAAGTCATCAAATTGGAGTTTTCTTTGACCATTCCTTCCTTCTGAATACTGTAACATACATACTATATACAATTCTTCATTTAGCAACCAGCTCAATTAATGAGTTGCACAGTTGCATGATCATAACCTGGTCATTAGAGGAGGAATGTCTTTACCTAAAGGAACAAAATCCAATGTCAAAGAGCAACTTTAAAGACATCAGAAGAGAAATAGCAACACATTTGATTACTTATCTGACCTTTTCTTTCAACTGGAAATACAGAAGCAATGCCAGACACTTTGCAGCCATATGAGACAGCAATTTATCTGAATTCTGGACCATGAGAATCTATAGAGATACAAATATATTTAATCACTATGGTTGAATGTTTGAGAACTCTTACTTTACATCTCTAAATCTTAGGAAAGGCAAATGGATTACCAATGTAGAATCGAGCTCGTTTGAGTGCAAAAGAATTTTAGTTATATCGCAGTACTTCTCCTTGGCATGGATCTCAGTCTCTGCAGACAGTATCCTGGATATCATCGTGTGGATAACAGTTAGCTGAAGGAGCTCTGTCTCCCGGGCACCGCTTGTCTGAGAGATTCTCTTCACACGTACCCCTGCTCCAGGAACGGCAGTCACCTGGACAGGCGGAGGCTGAGGCGCGCCCTGCATCCCCCTGCTGTCTGGCCACTCTAAGGAAAGGGTTGTAGCACACTCTTGATCTGAAAGGGCTGGGTTGAGATAAAAGGTGTACTTGTGGCTGTCACTTTCAAGTGTGGCTCCGAGAAGGACCTTCTTATATAACTGCTCTAAAACTTTACAGAAAGCGTTCATTTTCACTTCCAACATGCGTCTTGTAAGACGGCTGACCACTCCAAGCTGGAAATATTGCTACTTTAGAGATGTGATGAATCTTTAACATGTTTCTTCAGTGAAGCCTAAAACAGGAAAAAAAACTTTTACAATTATAAATGGCACATACATATTACAAGAGAAAGACAATGGTTACCACTTAGTCACTGTCTCAAGTTAAAGGTTATGCTGATTACTGCTGAATTTCTAAAATGGAAAATGGTAGTAAGAACATTAAGACTATCATTATGAAATATATGCTTTCCGTACAGATTTAAGAGCATAAAATTATTTTAATTTTATCACAGCAGAAATGGCAGCATTCCTCTAATGTTTCTCAGTGGTTTGGCAGGGTTCCTCAACCATGGCCCTGTTAACACTCGGAACCAGGTTATTCTTTAGCGGGGAAAGATGTCTTGGGAACTGTAAGTTGTTAAGCAACAATCTTGACGTCTACCTCTATGTGTCAAAACGCTCTGCCTCACACACCAAAGTTTGGTGCTTTGCTTTTTTTTTTTTCTTTTTGGTACCAGGAATCAAACTCAGAACCTTGTGCTTGTCAGGCAGGCGCTTGTGCCACTGAGCTGTATCCCCAGCCCTCACACATCAGATTTTGACAACCAAAGATGTCTGCAGATTTTGTCAAATATCCCATGTGGAAAAAACCGTGCCAGTTCAGAGCCACTGGGACAACTCAAATTCATGAACCTTTACCTCCAATGTTAAGATGAAAATCTGAAATTAGATTGCTGTATGGTCTGACTATATTATGGTTATTGCTAAGTAAGTTCCAACTTAAAATTACATGATATTAGAACACCCAGTTATCACCTGCACCACTAAATAACATTCTGAAATGCCATCCCAAGAAAAAGACAAGGTGTGAAGTAAAAAAAAAAAAAAATCAAATTTAGACATTCTGATTGTCCCACACTCCTCTAATATGACAGAGAACAGGATGGGGGTAGAAGATTTAGGACTAAACAGGGCCTTTGAAGCAGAGAATATGGGGACTTGATTGGTGGACTGATATCAGAGGAAGCACATGGTTACTATTAAGACTTTGCTATAAGCAATAGAAAACTAGGGTTTTTGAGAAAGATCTGGTCGTATGGGGGCTCTGCTCCTTTCATTGCCTTTGTGCTATTTTATACCTTTTAACTGTAGATGACTGATAGCAATATAAGTAATTCTATGTAGAGACATACAGATAACTGCATGTGAGGGGGAAGGACACCCCTCCCTCCAGAGGGAAAAGCCAGTTTTGCTTCCATTTGCACACACTGTAACATTCTTTTACTCCATATAGATTTACAGTTCTCTTCTTAAAATACGTTGTGACATCTGCTTGATTCTCTATGAATTAATGAGTTAAATAACATTTTTGATCTGCATTAATTTTTTATGGGTCATGATCTTGTCCTCTAAAATCTTGTCTTTAACAACATCCACAGCCTTCTCTGTTCTACCAGGACCAGGTGTAAATGCCCTACTCATCTCTAACCTCCTTGCTCAGAGGAAGAGACTTAGAAGGCTGACCACTTCCACTGGGCCTCACGCCCACTATATGGACCACTAACCTAGCCTTGGTCTTGGACCTCTCTCCACTGGCTTTTTCCTCCTACTTAGCCTCTAGGGAGTTCTAGTTGCTGATCCTGCACCAAGCAAAGATACCCTGGTTTAGCCCTCTGCTGCAGAGATAAATACTAAGAAACCTATAAACTTTCAAGTTAAGATCAAAACTTTTGAAGGTGTTCTGTGAATTCTATTTTCAAGCTGAAGTACACATCCAACATGATTTATTAACACAGATAATTAGAAACCTTGTTCTAAATGTTAAACTTTTCTGTACTCACAGAAAGTAGCAATGGTTAAGAGCACTGCACCCCTTTGTATTCCAAGAAAGAACTAACCAGAAAGGCCCAGCTCTCATCCATGTTCTCCAAAACCCTACTGTTCCCCCTCTTCCTTCAGAGGTTTCCCAATAGTGAGCATTCTCCTTATTACAATAACCTAAATACAATCTGCTTAAGTGTCTGGTATGTTCTGTCAGTCACACAGCAGGAATCGGGGGAGGGAGGAAAGGGGAAGTAAAACAACTAAGAAGAGTTAAGTAACATTTCTGAGATGTGCTCATTTCTAATGGGTTACATAAATATGCCAACTCCCCAAATGAGTGGAATCCTTATGTACTGCAAACATATTAATAAAAATTAAAAACTTGTTTTTCACATTCTACTTCAAAGTCTCATTCCACTATACTTATTTTTCTTTCTGCCTTGGTTATCACAGTAACATTTCTTCTTAATAAAGACAAAGGTTATAAAACGTTCCCAAAACAAAGGCTGAAAGGTTATAAAAGAAATACAGGGCGGGGGCTGTAGCTCAGGGGTACAGCACCTGTACATATAGGCCCCAGGTCCCACTTCCAGCACTGGAAAAAAACAACATTTCAAATGGACCCTTTATGAACAGAACACCAAACAACAGGATCATAAATGCCTAGGGGCAAGATGGATAACAAGATGAAGGTAACAGGTTTTAAAGGCTGCTTTTACTGTGACCAAATACAAATCTTTCTTAATTACATCCTCTTTAAAAATATCTACTCCAGCTAAAGGAATCTACACTGAAACAAACGTCTACGAGGGATAACCCGTTAGAAATTGAAAACTACTTTTTGCTTTGTATTTAGCAATTGTGGTATTAAATGAAAGGTCAAAGCACTGAAAAAACAAACTGCAGGGATGAACTGACCACTGTTTTTGTGAAGTGGCTGCTCTGAGGTTTGCACGTGGGAAGCTGCATTACCAAGCTGGCCTGCAGGAAGGTGTACCCTTCAGCCGCCAAGCCTGGAAGGGACACGAAGATGCCAGGGGTTGGGGAAGGGCATTTGGGATGCCGGGAAGCTTTGAAGCTATCTATACATATAAACAAGAGAGATTTGTCTAGTCTAGAAAGAACCAAAAACTGGAGATCAAATGAGGACAAGTGAATGAACAGTGTTCTTCAAGTTTCTACAACATGCCTTTTGACAGAGAAAGAGTACACTCCATACCTGGTGGCCCAAGGTGATCTCACCACAAAGCAAGTATCGTCCTCAGGCTTCAAGGAGGGACTGGTTCTAGGGCCCTCATGGAAAAGGAAAAAAAAAAAAATCTGCAGATGCTCAAGTCCCTTACATAAATGGCATAGTATTTGCATCTAATATGGAACTTGTGAATGGAATCTGACAGTACGAAGTTTGTCTAAAGCTTTTTTTATTTTTTTAAATACATAAACTATTTGAATTTTGCATTCCATGCCTAATACATACAATCATGTGTATTCTACCCACCTTCACACAAAATTGATGCTTTAGGAATAATTGCTAAACTTTACTCAGTGTATACTGTGTACCAAACATGGTTCTCAGTGAGTCTCTATGGGAAACCTCACAACCTTATGTGACAATTACCATACCCATTTTACAGATGGGAAACTGAGGTACAAAAAGGTGACGTCACAGTTAAGAGATGGCAGAGTTTAGAAACCAACAAATTTAGACTGTATGGTCTCCACCATTTTCCTGAGGCATTTCTCAAACTTCCACTGGTGACCCCAAGTCCAGGAGAGCAGGTTGGAAGACCTCAGATAAACTTCTTAAGTGTAAGCAGAATGCAAACAGCCTAATCTCTGACTTTTAATTCTCTCATAGTACTGTAAAATAGTAACAGTCCTTAGGCCTGTTTTCACAAGCACAAAATCTAAAATTAAGCATGACAACGACTATAAAGTTTCCCAATGCAAATGAAATTTTTTTTTCAAAAGACATGCAGCAACTAAAGGTTGAAATGTTATGTGAGGCTATCCAGTTCACGGAATTTTTATATTAAATTACTTTTAGTAGCTCCGCCAAATTCACCAACTCCTCGTGAAAAGCCAAATTACATGTGCGTTCTATTTGGTTAGCTTATCAATAGCTTAAGAGTACTATGAAAGAAAGACTGAGACCATGATTTTACTTCATTCAAAATAACTTCAACCTCTCCAATAGTTAACTCACATGGGTCATGATCATAAAACTTACACTCAAACTTTCAGTAAAAACATAATAGAAAGTCTTCAAGGGAAGAACTGTTAGCCTTGACACCAAAAATATGATCTCTAAATATAAAAACTAGTAAAATGGACCTCAGTAAAATTAAAACCTTTTCCTCTACAAAAAGTCCTATTAAGAAAATGAAAAGACAAGGTACAGACTGAGAGAAAATACTGTACTTGCAAACTGCACATCTAGCCAACGGCTAGTATCTAGAATAAGTAAAGAACCTTCAAAACCCATGAAAAAAATAACTGAATTAGGGCTAAGCACAGTGGCATATGCCTATATTCCTGTCTATAGAGGAGGCTGAGGTAGGAGGATCTCAAGGTTGAGGCCAGCTAGGCAACTTCTAAGACCTTGTCTCAAAATGAAAAATGAGGCTAGGGATGTAGTTCAGTGGTACAGCATCCCTGGGCATGATCCCCAGTACCATATATGCAAAATAATAGTAATAAAGATAATTTAATTCAAAATAGGTAAGAGACATAAATAGACATTTCAGTGAACAGGATACAGAGATGTCAGATAAACACAGTAGATATCCAACCCCATAAGCTACCAAGGAAATGCAAATTAAAAGTACAGTGAAACACTACTATCAGATGAGCTAAAATAAAAAGTAGTGACACCAAATACTGACAAGTAGGTAGAGAAGTGGCAATGTAAAGAGGTACAGCTACTCCAGAAGAAGGATCGGCAATCTCCTAAAAACAAAACATGTGTCTACCATACAAACCAGTAATTAATACTTGCCATTTATCCCAGAAAAATGGAGAGCTATTTACCCTGAAACCTGTACATGAAGTCCATCACTGGGTGAACGGTTACACAAACTCTGGCACACTAATACCGTTCAAAACTTTCCAGCCAGAGAAAGGAAAGTATTGATACATGTTACAACGTGGCCGGCTCTCAAGATTATGTTGAGGGGAACAAGCCAATCTCAGAAGGCTGCACAGTCGCTGTATGATTCAGCTCATGAAATGATGAAATAAGGGATGA